TTCGTATTTTTGGAATGCTTTTTCAAACCAGGGCCTAGTCTAGCTCCAGAGTTCTTCCTATATGAAAATAATGCTCTCCATTTTCACCATTTCATATGAACATCATTTTAAGTTTTATCCCATTGTATGTGTGGATTTTAAAGAGAACTTACACTGAACAAGGCATCCTCCCTTACTCCTCGCACAGCATAAAATTTGAAGGCAGTTGGCTGATTTCTATAACCTTAGAAGCCCCAGAACAGAGAGAAATTACAGTCCTACAAAGACATCAAACCTACAACTGTGATCTCATCAGAAATATGTTCAGAAGCACTGAAACAATGATTTGCATTCCACTCTGTTGGACTGCAAGGAGCACTTTGCTGTATCACTCTGTTGTTCTGTGCCCTGGAGTCCATTCCATCTCATAGTAACCCTACAGGACAAAGTAGAGCGACCCAACACAACAGGGTTTCCAAGGCTGTAAATCTTCATAGAGCCAGATTGCCACAACGTTCTTCTACAGAATAGCTAATGGATTCCAATCACGGATGTTCTGGCTGACAGCTGAGTGCTTAATGGCTGTGCCACTAGGACTCCTTTTTATTACTCCAGGTCGGTTTGAACTACAAGGAAACCCTATACACGATTGCTATGAGTTGGAACCAACTCAACTTAACAACAACAACAAACTCTATTAGGAGTCCTGGTGTGGTGCTATAGGATAAGCACTGGACCGCTTACCGCAAGGTTGGCAGTTCAAATTCCCCAGCTGCTCCTATGAAATCCTATACAGGGTCGCTATGAGTCAGAACCGACTCGATGACACAACAATGACAACCACAAATTTTAAAACATTGGTTTTGTTTCCAATGGACAAAAGTAGTTAAACAGAAGAATACAATTTTAAGATTCAAAATGCATACACAGATTTTCAGAGGCATTGCCAAGACACGTCATTCAAGTGGATGGTAGAAACTATCTTCTTTTAATTTATCTGAAATCTAAATGTTTCACCTAAAACTATTTACTGAATTTTTTTAAATGGAAGCTTTCAGAACTGTTTGTATGATTCTCTCAAATTGTATCCAGGTTACTCAAGAAGTTATACAATCCCCTCTGAAGCCAGAAAAATGAAGTGCTACCTGGCTACCATTACCAACCTGTTCTGTAAGGGATCATATTAGAAGGTCCTGAAAGAATGGGAGAAAATGCGGAGCAAAAGTCAAAATCATTAAGAAAGACTTGTCTTAATGATCAGAAAGAGACTGGAGGAACCTGAGTCTAAGGTTCTGGGCCACCCTTCAGGTCTGCAAAGGATGCATCATACATCTATCTATCTAATCATGGCCCAATTTCCAGGTAAGCAGTACATAGGTATATAGGAGGGCAACAACACTAGTAAGGTATGCCCATCATGGAATGGCCAATCATTCCAGAGCAAAAGGGAGACAGGTACCTAAGGACAAAGTTGAGAAAGAAGGTGGATGGACTAGAAATAGGGACCCAATGTGGAACATCTGTTGCTGCATGGAGGGGAATGCAATCATTGAGATGAAACAAAGTACATGATTGCTTGAATGTAAAGCTGATGATCTTGTCTGTAAGCCTTCACTCAATTCACAAAAAGTAAAAAATTTTCAAAAATTTACAATCCCTAGCACATCATGCTTTTCCTATCATTCACCCTCTCCCAAACAGTAAAAGGATGAGAAAGGAAGTGATCGTAGTCTAGTGTAATTTAGATTCAGGTGAAAAAATTATTTGTGTCTAGAAATCAATGTTGCAGTCTAGATAGCTGGGATTTTGAGTCAAACACAGGAGGTGAGTCAGTCAATTCCAACTCTGGCATGTGCAGAGTCTGTGAAGAACACTAAATAAAAGCAAGCATGTTGCTTTTAGACATACTTCCAAACTATTACCATTTGTAATAACTCAAAACTCTTCTCTGGTTTCCCTGCCCTTTAAAAAGACTTAACTCTAAATCTATTTGTGCTGTGTGAATTACCTGGATAAAATAAGAGCTGAGAAACTCTCCCGAGGAAAATGTTTTTGCTGGAAACCCTGTCCTACTACCTCCTGAGCTCCTTGAAAATGAAAATCTCTGTGTCATACAGATGACAGCCACCTTTTGGGTGGAACCAAAATAGCTCTCTCCACTAGAGAGCTGTCTATAAGAGTTCTGGCAGATATCAGATTTGGCATGCAAGAGGAAGGAGAGAAAAGGAAGGGAGTTCAGGGGGAGAACCCAACTAGCTAGAACCCAATTAGCAGGAGGGGCACTTGGCTCAAAAACACCAGACCAAGCAGAAGGGAACCAGCAACCATTTCTGGAAACAACAGAATTTTAGAAAAGGGAGAGTCAGGGATATCGATGACAAGCTCCTATTTCCACCATTAGCTCTTGAGGGATTTTGAATGGGCCATGATTCGATATAAGATGCACTGAATTGGAAAGCTTCCATTTGTCAAAGGAATCAAATACACTGACATGCAAAGGATTTTCTCTCCCTCTAGTGGTGGGGTGGGGGCTTTTGAAGTGGTATCCTGTCATTGCATAATATTCTTCATAAACAAAGATAATTTTCCATTATAGTGCAGTTTGTCCAAAAATTAGGGTTTGCCTTAGATAGGTTGCTCTCTACTGTGGTTCTCACCACACCTTCAATTCCTTGTGTTAGGGAGTGAAGAGTCTCCTGAGCATGTTGATGGTTGTTGTTTTTGTTAAGTGTCGTTGAGTAGATTCCGACCCATAGCGACCCTGTATAGGGTTTCCAAGGAGCAGATGGTGAGCTTGAACCACTGACCTTGCCAGAACTCATTACCAGTGGTAGAACAACAAGGCTCTCCATCTCCTTTTAGCTAAAGTGCCCATGATCACTTCTGATACACAATTTCCCTCTCTTTCACTGTGTTACCAAAGATAGAAAGATACTCCCTGCTCCAAGGCAATTCTCCTGACCTCTGGTTAGGCCAGAACAACTGAGGAGTTAAATGAGGAATAGAAGGCAGTTTTAGCTGAAGTAAACATAGAGATTCAGAGGAGAAAAACTCATAAGGGTTCTAAAGAAGGATCCAAACCTAATGCAATGAATAAGATTTAGAGACAAATTTTAGAATGAGTCTTTACCTCTCCTATCCCTTCTCTGTCATTTTCTTCTTTTCATTCAATGGTCATGTGAGAATACTTCTACTGTAGCAATTTGGGGCAGTCATAGTTGATGAAAAAGGAGAAAAAAGAGAAAAAAATAATGTCAATTTTAAGTAGAGTAGCTAAAAATTGCCTTCTTGTATTTAGAGGGATTAAATAGTATAATACAACAGCACAAGAATATGAATGGAAATTAATCATTGATTAATCAATAGGTTATTGATCAAGAACAACAAACCTATTGGTGTGAAGTATGCAGAATACGCACCCTTTTCCTCTGTTCCATAGTTAAAGTGAGGCACAACGATGTCTACTTGACCTATCTTCTTGGATGTTTCTAAGGCAAACCCTGCAAGCTTGGCCCCTTTTATAGTTTCCTTCTCTCAGTGAATAACTCCAACAGCCATCCAATCATGTGAGCCAGAAATCCAGGAATTAGTTGACTGTCATTGTCTCTCACCACCATATCAAATTCATCACCAAGTCTTTCATCCTTACTCCTGAAATCTATTCAAATGGGTCTATTTCTCTTTGTTTATAATCCTCTTCCCTCCTCCCCAATTGATCAGTTCTCCTGACTGACTACTACTACTCCTGAGTTTTTTCATTCCATTTTAGGTGAAAGCATTTCCCACAATGAGCTACTTCATTCAATTAGTATTTTTTAAAGGGCTACTTTGTACTCTGGGAATACTGTGCTAAATAAGTCTTACTAGGTCCCTACTCTAATGGAACTTATGGAAACAAAAGGTAAACATCAAATAGTTGCAAGTACTATCTGGTGGTGGTGGTGATTGTGAGCCATGGATTTGGTTCCAACACTTAGCAACCCTGTATAGAGTCTCTGAGGCTGTAAATTTTTACAGGAGCAGAAAGCCTCATCTTTCTCCTGAGGAACGGCTGGTAGTTTTCAACTGCTGACCTTGAGGTCAGCAGCCCGACTCATAACCACTATGCTACCAGAGCTCCTTAAGTACTACCTGTAGAATTTAAAATAGAGTAATATAGTAGAAAACGGTTGAATGGTTTACATTGTGTGTTCAAAAACATGAAATCCATGGGAGATCCAACAAGTAAGTCTGCTGAAACGATAATGTTTGCTGTCAAGAAAGACTACGTTACGCATAGGTGAGTGGTTTAGATACTGGGCAATAACAAAAACAAAAATAAAAATACATCTGGAGACTCAATCGGGTCAGCTTTTCTCCAAGCATTTCTGCAGAAATATAGTATTTATTTGTTGTTGCTAACTGCTGTCGAGTTGGTTCCGACTCATAGAGACCCTGTATAGGGTCCAGTGCTGATCCTACAGTACCATACCATAAGTCCATAGTATTTATTACCTATATGAAATTACCTTATTTCGTTAACTTCTTTTTTGTATGTCCCTTTTCCCTAGAAATTAAGTCTATGAGTTTATCAATCTTGATAATCATTGCTCATTCCCCAGTGCCTGGCGTGTATTTGTTGAACTAGTGGCCAAAGATGTATGAAGTGAGTTGACTGTGAAAGTGGGCGATCCAGGAAGTCTTCAACAGAGACGTCAAGGTCATTTACATAGCAACGTTAAATGGGTTGTAACGTCCTGACCAGATTTCTCAGCATCCGGCACCAACCGCTTACGCTCAGAACTCACACACAAGGTCACAACCAAAAACCTGTCCAATACCCCGCTAGGAGGAGTCACACTTCACAACCCACAAATTGGCCGATCTGCTCGTCAGTTCTCCTTCCTTCCCCTCTGCAACAGGGTTACGGCCACCTTCATGTGGCAATGCTCGCCGGAAGTAGTAGTCTTCCGCTCCGAGGCTGTAGAGCTTTTACATACATCTAGAACTACGCCTCCCAGGGAGCCTCGCGGCAGAGGGGAGCTGTGTCACCTGACCAAAACTCTGGAGATGTAATGGCGGCGCCCATACTTCGCTTAGGCTGTGCTGGAAGACGTTGTGCTTTAGCCGGTGTTAAAGGCGCTTCTCGTCACAGACGAGGGGCTCCGAATGGCTTCGCGCTCAACGAGATGAGGGTACAGAGCTCAATGGCCCCGAGGCCAGTAATCACAGCCCAGAAGCCGAGGAAAGGGTATACTACTTTAATCCATTGCAACCCATCTAGGAATTGAGGTGGAACTGCGGGACTGGAGAAATGGAGGCTCTACAGTCTAGATTTTTGTGTATACATTTTGGTGGGCGGTGGGGTGTTGGGCTATAATCTGGAGCCTTGAAACCTAAGTGAGAGCCCCAAATAGGTCCTCTTTCATCTCGTCCACACACATAAAACCAGGCTTGTAGCCATATCAGGAGAATTCGTGAGTGTAAAATCGCAAGTGATTCCCTGAATGTGAGGCTGCACAGATACAGGAGTAAATACATTCACCTTATTGTTAGCAGCGGGATCAGTGACACTTGTGAAGAGGCATCATATTTACCTGGCATTATTTTGTGCTACTGTGGGCCAGCACTGCTCTAAATGTAGAAAGAGAGGCTTTATGTATACGCTCTGGATTAAAATAAATAAATAAATAAACCCAATAGACCCAGGCGCAGTGATCCTGTGGGTCAGCATAAAACTTCCTCATAGGGTTTCCAAGACTAATCGTTTTGGAAACTGCCGTGGAATTTCTGCCTTGGAGTGGTTGTTGAATTGGAACCTGGCATCTTCCACCTTTCTGTTGGCAGCCAAGTGATTTAATCAGAGCATCATTAAACTCTGGATAGTGGTGGTTTATTGTCATAGTCAGAAACCCTGAGCATAGATCCTGGAGTATGCAGCAAATGGAAGAGATTTACATTCTTAGTTATGTGGAAAGTTTTGCTTATTTTGTTAGGTATTCTCTGAATAGCTGTTTATGTTACACTATATAAGACAAAGGAGATCTGGTAGTGTAGTGGTTACGAATCGGGCTTCCAACCGCAAGGTCAGCAGTTTGAAACTACCAGCTGTTCCGCGGGAGAAAGATGAGGCTTTCTGCTCTTGTAAGGATTTACAGCCTTGGAAACCCTGTACAGGGTCGTTGAGTCAGAACCAACTCCACGGCACATAATACCAACAATATAAGACAAAGGAGTCCCGGCATGGCGCTGTGGCTTAATGCACCAGAATGCACAGGTGCTTGAACTTTAAGTTTGGTGGTTCAAGCTCACTAGCTGCTCCTTGGAACCACTATACAGGGTCACTGTGGGTCGGAACCGACTCGAGGGCACTTAACAACAACATATATGACAAAAGGACCTCTGCTAGCGTAGTGCTTACGAATCAAGTTGCCAACCTCCAAGTCAACAGTTCGAAACTACCAGCTGTTCCATGGGAGAAAGATGAGGCTTTCTGCTTCTGTAGATTTACAGCCTCGGAAACCCTATTCAGGGTCGCTATGACTCAGAACCGACTCTGGTTTTTAAGTACAGAAACATAAGACACGTTTCTCATGTTTTGTTTATCCTTAGAAATAATTAAGGGAAATGTCCTGAACATTCAATTTCTGTTCTTTTAATAAATTAGATTATCTGTTAATGGAAGGTAACATTTTTTCCTCTTATGCAGTGAAACTGTGAAAATACTTTGAATAATACTTCAGTTAATGCAGAATTTCTGATGAATTCTTAGTTTAATTCTCAGCTAAAAATGCTGGGGGGGGGGTTGCACCTTAAAAAGAAGAAACGAATCTCCTTTTAATAATATACAGGAAGAGCCTCATGTGTTGAAATGATTAGTACAAAATTCAATATGGTGGTGGTGGTAGTGGTTATGTGCTGTGGAGTCAGTTCCGACTCATAGCGACCAGTACAGGGTTTCCGAGGCTGTGAATCTTTACGGGAGCAGAAAGCGTCATTTTTCTCCCGTGGAACAGCTGGTAATTTCGAACTGCTAATCTTGCAGTTCGCAGCCCGATTTGTAACCACTGTGCTACCAGAGCTCCTTAAAAAGCGTGATAGAAACAGAGAAAATATAAAGAGAATATGTTGTAGACAGATTATCTGCAGATTACCCAGCATACATGAGCTTCGTTTATAGGAACCTGGAGACACTTGTGGATGGACTGAATGGTGCAGACCCAACTGAATAGGAATGGCCAGATAAGAGAAATTGTTGTAGCATTTAACCGCTCTTTAGATTTCATAATAATAAAATCTGAGTAAACAAGCAAAGGAACATGAAATTAGTTCTTAGAAATAGAAAATTATTTTGGAAACCAAAAAAAGACCGTATTCAATGGATTAATACTTAACTAGGCACAAAATTACCAGAAAGGGTATCATTTAGTGGTGATCTGCTGTATCTGAGTACATCTGGTAGTTGTGTATGCAAGCTATTGTTATAAAATGTATTCACAAGCTGGTAGAAAATTTCCTTTTTTAATAATGATATTTGGCGTGGTTTATTTATTGCTGTTCCTCTAATAGTAGAATTTTCATGTTTAGGCTATTCTAAATAATGTTCACAAGATCACTTTTCTTCATTTGTTGTTATGCGCCCTGGAGTGGGTTCCGACTCATAGAGACCCTGTACAGAGTTTCTGAGGCTGTAAATGTTTACGGGAGCAGAAAGCCTTGTCTTTCAACCGCGGAACAGCTGGCAGTTGGAACTGCTGACCGTGAGATTAGCAGCCTGATTCTTAACCCCTATGCTGCTTTTCACTGAAGTCAGCAATCACTTGTCACCTGATACCTATTTCTAAAATATTTTAAGATGCCAAATTGTTCCATTTTGTATCAACTTTTTATTTGTCCAGTGAACTTGCCTAATTCCAAATTGTAAATGAATTTTATTTTGCCAATCTTGTTGCATGGTGTCCATTATGAGCCTTTTTTTTTTTTTTTTAATTTGGTCACCAATAAAAGAGGACCCAGTTTTAAATAGGAGGGTATAAACTTATAATAAGTTAAAAACACAAGTAGGAAATTAATATTTGGACTTTGTTATTCTGACTCATAGCAACCCTGTATAGGGTTTCCAAGACTTAAGTCTTTATGAGAACAGATAGCCTTATCTATTTCTTAATTGTGTATCTTCTCCTTTAGTGAACATGAATGGGCACCTGTGGTAGGTTTGGAAATACATGCACAGATTTCTTCCAACTCTAAACTCTTCTCCGGATCTCAAGTTCACTTTGCAGCACCTCCAAATTCTTTGGTTTCTTTTTTTGATGCATCTCTGCCTGGAACTTTGCCGGTAAGTCTTTTATGTGACCCTGTTTTCATTTGTGTCCTTCTGCTGTGCCTAGGGTTGCTATGAGTCGTATGGTACCTAACAGCAACCTAACATTTTATTAGTTAAGTGGCTCAGTTTTCTTGAATTTGTGTTAATATCCTTACACAACTCCTAAGAAATATCTGTTTCAGGAATTATGGATGAAGTGGGATAGACTAAATGATTTCTAAAGACCTGTCTCTAAAATTCCGTCTAAGTCATTCAAACATTTTCTCATTTGTTTCACAAACATTTTAGAGTGCCTACTAAACACCAGAGGCGCTGTGGTAGTGTAGTGGTTACAAGTTGGGCTGCTTAACCTCAAGGTCAACAGTTTGAAACTACTAGCTGTTTTGCAGAAGAAAGATGAGGGTTTCTGTTCCTGTAAAGATTTACAGCCTCAGAAAACCTATTCAGGGTCGCTATGAGTTGGAACCAACTCCATGGCACATAACCACCACCACCACTAAACACCAGACACTGTTATTAAATGAAACATAAAAATGAATGAAGAGCCTTGCCTTAGAGTAAGTCTCAGACTTGTAAACAAATACAGTTCGGTGTGACTATTCTTTTTTTTTTTTTTTTTTAAATATTTTGTTGTGAATTATGTGATCGTTTACATGGGAGAACATTAGCTTTACATTCATCCTATTGTATATCGTTACATTTACATGGTTACAATCCCCTCCATGCATCATCAACCAACCAAAGGGTATACCCCGCAAGCCTGTCCCCCAGTCATCAGCACACAACCCCTCTTCCTCTCTGGGTCTAGAGTTCCCAGCTGCTCCGTCTCTCCACGTCATCGTCTCTGCCTCCATCTCTGGTATCATTGTTTCTCTGGGTAGGGTCCTGCTTTCTGCTCTTCTCCTTTGATGGTCCCAGGGACCTCCGCTCCTAGACTGCAAAGTCAACCACTCCCCTCCTTTGATTCAAAATTGCCAATACCAGTCCGTTTTAGTTCACTAATACCTAGAATATGGGTGTTTATGCATTCCATTTCCTCTGACAACTTACAGTTTTTATAGAGTCATTTGTTTTACATTGCGTGTTTCATTTCCTAATGGATGTTTGCAGCTGTTCTCTTCATTTTGAATTGTGCCCCATCAGTAAATGGAGGTCTCAAAAGCTTTACTCCATTTGCATCATCATGCTTAGCTCTTCATCCCTAGTCACATTTTGAGTGCCTTCCAAACTGAAGGACTCATCTTCTGGCAATACATCTTGCAATATTCTGGTGCTGTTCATAATGTTTCAATAATATTCTTGTGCTGACGGTGTTCCACTGTTATTCATAAGGTTTTCAGTGGCTCAACATTCAGAAGTTGCCTGCCTCTACTTCTTCCCAGTGTGTCTACAGAACGTCTACCTTAACATTTCCAACCCTCACAGTCAGTCCTGATAGTAATTATTCACTATTGTAACACATGAGTGCTATCCACATCTCCTTTCATCAGTCCTGCCCAGATAGATTGGATACTACTCAGTGGAGGTTCTACCTTATTCCCTTGCGCCCTTTAGATCTAGGCTCTCTCTTGAAAGCTTGTAAGCCAGTCACTTCTTGCCTTTGAAGCCCCCCTCCTCCATTTTGGGTAGCCAGTGTCTAAGTTACTCATCTCTGTCTACCCTGTGTATTGAGGGGGTGTGAATGATTCTCACTGTACTGCATCCATAGGTGTAGGTCAAGTTCATCAAATTGTATCAGATTATGCTTTTTACCCTCTTCTTTCTTCTTCTAGTTGAGCTCTGATCATCCAGTCATTGAAGCCAGATCAAGTGGGTATTATCTGCAAGTGTGGGTGTTCTTGTCCATATGCCCTCTCTTCTTATCAGCTGGATGATTCACTCTCCACTCTAGTCCTCTGTGGCTCTGTCAGTGACTCTGGGCCCAGGAGTCCTCAGGTCTTGCCAAACTGCTGGCCAACAGGGTCTCCACCCAGGTTCACAGGAGCGCATTGAATGTGGTTGGACTTAACTTGCAGCTTCATTACTGTTTTTCCCTCACTTCCCCTTATTGGTGACCAACATGGTCACCAGTCAGAGCACGTGTCTGCTCGTGTATTCCCATTGAGTCTTAGTCTTATAAGGGGGCTTGCCCTGAGGGGACCCGACTGCTTGCCTTTGATGTCTCCTGGGCGAGCAACTTGCTTGTTCTTGTAGTAGTCAGTCAGTCTGCCTGTATTGTTTTGTATTTTTCCTGTTGGTCTTTCTTTTAAGCAGTGTCTTCTGTTCTTCTGGCCATTCCAGGCTGGTCTGCTTGTCCTTTCCAGTGGAAATTTCCCACCTCAGAAGGTTCTGGATGGGGTTCAGGATTCCCCCTATGGTCTTATGTAATGCAGAGGCTCCACAGGAAGCCTCCTTCACTGGGCACGTTGTAGCCTTATTTTAGGTATTCCAATCAGTTATAGGCAGAAGATGGCCTTCCAAGCTTTCTTTGGTGAAATTTCTGGCTATTCCTTTCTCTCCCCGTCAAGTGTCTATTTTATAATGGTATGCCAGGGAAACCAAGATTCAAAAGACAGCCAAGCATTTTAATATTATTTCCTCCCTTTTGCCCATTCCAGCCATGTCACAACCCCTGTATCCCAGAGCCCTGTTGTTCCTAGGTTGTACATACATCATTATTTACCTCTGTCCCACTTAGCCCATGCAAACCTGCCTAATTGTTATCCCATCGCCTTGTTCTTCCATTGCATTTCCCCTTCTTGTGTATTTCCCCCCTCCCCAGTACCCAAACTATCCTGTGTCTATGCCCTGCCCTATGCTACACCTTCCCCTCCCTCCCCTCACCCCACCCCCGACATCCTGGTAACCAGCAAAGAATTCCCCCTCCCCCCCTTTAGTATGGGTTCTTTTTCTTAGTCATTTACAGTAGTGGTCCTATACAGTATTTCTCCTTTTGTGACTGAATAATTTCACTCATCAGTGTGATTATTCTTGTGAAGTTACTATGTAGAGGATGTTTTTGAAACTCTGAGGAGGGATTCTTAAAGGGAGGGAATATTGAGTGAAATTAGGGTAGAGCTATAGAAGGTTAAGGAAAGGTTGTTCGGGGAGATGGCATATGAGATACATGAGAAACCAAGTAGGAGTTAATTAGGCCGATAAACAAAAGAAGAGGGGTCTAGTTAAAGGAAGCATTGAGTTAAAATTAGATAATGCCATCAATTCTTGGTTTTACGGTAGTTGTGCCCTATAAAGTCACCGCAAACCCTGACCTATTGCATCTAGAGGAAGTACAGAGTTAGGTTCCTGCAAATTTCTGATCGCAACATTTTCATCAGCTGATCAATATATAACCTTGTTATATGTGTGCTTCTGTTGAAAGACACTTATATGATATATATTGTTGATTGATTAACGCTGAACTCATGCCTAGTGGCATTATAACTCACACCTGAACGAAGCTTGTCTGATATACATATTTTCACCCCAATGCTTATCACAGCCTCATTGCATTTAGGAACACTAAACAAATCTTCAGTGTTATACTTAGGGGCTGTGTTAAACAGTCACATAACCAACAAACCCCACAAAAATTTGAAAAACATGGCATTAAATAGACCATGAGATGGATATTTGAAACAAGAAGGTAGAGTGTTGCCTTGTTCTACCTCAGCTGGGAGCACATGCGGCAGGTAATTCTATTTTTTCGCTGTACTGTGTGTATCCACAAATAACTGAAAGAAAGCATAGTGAGTATTGATTTGGGCAAGTAGGTGAATTTGCAGATACATAATGGTGAAAAATGAGGATAGGCTGTAATTGGCTATTTATTAACACAGATATGTACATTGTTCTTCCAGCCTTCGAAAGTAAGCCAAATATATGAAAATATATGGTAAAAATTTTGCTGATGAGTATATGGGATGCAATGATTTTCTGGGCTTAAGTAAAACTGAGTAATGATTTTAGATCAGTGCATATTGTGGTTGGCTTTTGTCTCCATTATTGTCACTTCTTAGTGTTCGAAAACTACAATTGTTATTGACCTTAGCAGTGTACTACCATTTGTGATTGATGCTGCATTCTTTGTGTAGATTCCATGGATAAGAAAATCATAAGAGTAGGTCCAGGTGCTATAGGGTCTGCTAAGTGTAGGGTTTCTGGGCCATTCTTTTTTGTGTGTGTCAGTTGAGTGAAGGTTAACAGAGCAGATCTTCAGTTTCACATTCAACATATTATATACTTAGTTTTTGTTTTGTTTTTTAATGTTTTATTGTGAATTATGTGATGGTTTACATGGGAGAACATTAGTTTTTCATTCATCCTATCCTGTATTATTTCATTGTCATGGTTACAATCCCCTCCATGCATCATCAACCAACCAAAGGGTATACCCTGAAAGCCTGCCCCCAGGTCATCAGCACACAGCCCCTCTCCCTCTCTGGGTCTAAAGTCCCCAGCCGCTCCATCTCTCCAGGTCATCGTCTCTGCCTCTATCTCTGGCGTCACTGCTTCTCTGGGTAGGGTTCCACTCTCTGCTCTTCTCCCTTGATGGTCCCAGGGACCTTCACTCCTAGACTGTTAAGTCAATCACTCCCCTCCTTGCTACAAAACGGTCTACCTTTACATTTCCAACCCTCACAATCAGTCCTGATAACAATGATTCACTATTGTGTCACAAGAGACCTATCTGCATTTCCTTTCATCAGCCGTGCCTAGACAGATTGGGTACTACTCAGGGGAGATTCTACCTTCCTCCATGCCCTCTGGATCTAGGTTCCCTCTTGAAAGCTTATACACTTAGTTTTATCTCAAAGATTTGTAATCCCCTCAATGTAACATCACTTATCCCACCTACTCCGTGTGCTTCTCCTGTCTATTCCTTCTTCTTTCCCATCCCTTTTGAATTTTGTCCTTAGGCAGATGCTGCCCTTTTGATCTTGAATGATTGGCCCTTCTTGAATGATTAGTGTGTGTACCTCACTAATGTTGTTGGCCCCTATATACCTATCTAGTGCTTGTCTGAAAATTGA